CAACCCAGCGCCGGGGTAACAACGCCGGCTATTCTGACGCCCTTCACCGCCTGACGTTACAAAGTGTGTGTTTTACCTCGCGCGTTGCACACGGCATTGTGTACCTCGCGCGTATCCCCGATCTGCCTGTCAAAGTGTTATTCTTAAAAATTCTCATTCCCGCGGTACGCGAGATGCATTTCGGACAATTTTGTCGAGGATGAGTCGAAAAAACGAGAGACGCTCGTAGAGCGTCTCTCATGGTTATTAACGAGGTATGCGCTGCAAAGATCATTCAGATTTTAAAATAAAATTTCAACCAGTTCAATTCCCTCGACGCGCGCTTTATAGAGAAAAAAATGTGTTTGTTTTATGTATGGCGACGCCTCAGAAAGCACCGAGAACGACGGGCTTCGATGCTCTCGCCTCCCGCGAATTTGTGCTTCGTTTTTTCCCCGGCGTCGTCCCCATTGGTTCGTGAGATACGAACGTCTCTTCGGGGCGGACACGCCGGAGGTTCAGTAAGAGCGTTTAGCATAATTCGAGGACGTTGCGAGGGTCCCAGCGCTGCTCGCCTGGTCGCTCGCTCGCTCGCTCGCTCGCTCGCTGCCGACAAAAATGCCTTGTTTTGCTCCGCTTAACTCTCCTCGTTAGTCGCGGTGACATCTTGACGAAAGGGCAGGCCGGAAAATAAGAACGGTGAAAAACGGCCGCGAAGAATCCCGTGGGAGTCTCGTGTTTTCCGCGCGGATAAGGCTTTAATTAAAATTAACATCGTCGAGTTGCTGAAAAATATTATTCTCCGTGATTCCGTGTTAATAAAAAATTCAGATGATAAAAAATTTTTTATTGATCCACTTTTTGTTGTAAAGAAATCACTTAATTCCAAACTTTAATTACAAGTTGCACAGTTACCTGGATGTTGAATCTTTAACACTTCTCATTATTCTTTCTAAAATAATTGTTATTAATTTATACAGCTTATCATTAAGTTTTTAGTTGAAGAAACATCCTATGATTCTAGGGTAAATTTTATAATATTTTATGATCATTTTAGTAGTAGCTCATGATAGCATTTGTTATGAAAAGGAACAAATACATCCGTACACAAACGGAGTAATACGAATCGTAAAGGGATCGTTGCGACTCTAATTAGAACACTCTGCCGTTTCCGTCGGACGAATTAAAGCTAATCGCTCGTGACGGGAAAAGACAGGCGAGGTGCGTTTTCTCGCAGAAAGAAGTAAGAGGGAGAGCTGAGAAATAAAGACGCTAAAACGCGGAAGGAGCACGCGGAAGGGCGAGGGGTGAAAGAAAGATACGACCCTTCGGGGGCCGTGAAAAAAAAAGTTGCCGAGTACGAAATTAGTCGTACTCGCGGTGAGGAAGAGCATTAGACACGCCCCGAGGTCTCGGCCCCCGCTTTCGCGAGCGCAGTCCCGTTTTATTCGATAATTATGCAAATGCCGGAATGATTGTCGGGCAATATGTCCTCAGAATAAAAGTACCGGGCCGAAGCAATTCGGTTATCTTTATGATTTCGGGTCGTCGTCGAAGGGCGGCGAAGAAGAGGGAAACATGGCGAAACCAGAAATCCAGACGGGAGGGAGAGGGGAGACGGCTCGTCAATCCTCGGCGACAAGAGTCAAGCCCTTCATTTGCATCGAAACACGGCCCTCTGGCTTCGCCTTCTTACGATGACGAATACGATGACGCATTGTGATCAGCGTCGTTATTTTAACGGCAAAGAAATACGTTCCAAGATTGCATTTCTGCATCGTTGCGTAAATCTCCGATCGAAATATCACATATAGTTACAGCTCAGAAGAGGATAAAAAATATTTGAGATATAAGGGCTGCTTTCACGAATGGAAAATAATGTGAAACCGGTGCGCAGGTAAATCATACTTGGTACTTACCTCACATTCGGACCAATTGATCGATCAGAGTATCAATTATTGTCCCTAATTGGATATTCTCTGCAATTGCCCTCGAGTTTTAGTTCCGACGCGATTCGTCTCGATTCCATTGACGCTGTAGCCAGCCGCTCAGCATCGACAATGAAATGAAAACGTCTAATTAACGCGCAGGAATGGGCAATTAAGACATCGACACAGCGATCTCGCTATATGACTGATTCAATTAAGGCACCTTCTGGTGCCTCGTCGAGGCGTGCTTGTGCTGTATTATCGTTATATTTACTATTAAAATATATTCCTCGCGCCGAAAGGGAGGAGCCTGTCTCGACCAATGGGCTCTCGTCGCGTGCCTCGGGTCGTTACGGAATCTGCAAATTGATAAGAATACATCGCCGTACCCTTCATTAGCCCTCCCCCCGCGCCTCCGTTCGAGCGAAGATGTCGGACGCGGAATACATTTTTATTCGCACCCAGGGTGATCGCCTTATCGCGCCGTTCTTGTCGTTATCTTTAAAGGCCGTGGCAATTTGTCTATTCCCTAGAAATCATCTGACACGCGTACGATGCGGGAAACACGTGTACGCTTTACGCGCTTCGACGAGCTGAAAAACGGAGTAACTTTGATCCATTAACCACGGAGGAAATCTTTCCTCAGGTGTGAGGAGAGAGAAAGAGTAAAATACCTTCCCGATAAGGGAAATTTATAAAATAAATGTAGCATGAGAACATAAGACGCACCTCCGAAATCGAGAATGTAAGATGGAGATCTTCTAGGATGTGCCAGAGGAGAGTAATTAAATGGAAGAAGTCCAATTTACAATAACAACTATTTATTTATAGGTAATAATGCTGAATTACAATGAATACACTTCTTGCCTCGATACTAGATTGTATAAGTCCAGTTGCGAAATCGGCGTCACTAGTCATCATCGCCGTGACTCGCAGTGTGGCGACGACAGAGTTCCACTCCCCCCCTACCCCTCCCACCCCATTTCCATTTCCGCACCGTAAATATCTTGCACATCCCCTCTTTCCCGCACGTCATTTTCATTTTTCACCTTCAATTCAGTATCGTTTTTCTCGACCGAGAGCCGCACACGCTGCACGCTTTGATGTTCACCTCGTCGCACCGGAAACCAAACGATTTGAAATATATTCGCAATTCATTATTTCGGGTCTCATCTACAGTGCATGTTTATGAATCGTGCCGACAGCCATCAATGTTGCTTGACTCGAGAGAGAAACCGATTCGCGAGATCGGTCGCCCCGTCAATCTCTGTTCTCGAAATTTAATTTGTACTATTTGGTGTCGGCCAAAGTTTTTCGTTGCGATCGGCGTTGTCAATTATATGAGAGTCATCTTCGCGATTCTCGGTCGTGAAGAACGTCACTTGAACGCGCGAATCGTGTCAACTCCCTCGGCCACCCTCCGACCACTCTCTTCCTCCCACCCACCCTCCGTTCACTTCGGTTCAATCGGTAGCGGCGATGGCAAATACGGATCAGCTATCGGTGGTTAAATTTTCGTTTCTCTACGTTTAGCATCGTCTTAACGGGCTTTAGCTGATACGATACTAGACACTATGATTATGTGAACTTTACAACACAAGAACCTTACGGCAAAAGACTTTGTACATGGATCTTAAATACGGGGACCGCCCCCGGGGAAATATCCTTGGTGCCTTTCTCGCTCTGTATCGCGCGCTTTTCGCAGGGTCCGTCGGAGTCTTCATTCATTTCCTCTCTCGCTCTGCCTCTCTCTTTTTCCTCATTCCAAATATTCTCGCACGCGTTAAGAACGCGTGTCGCACCAAAGAAATATTTCGCCGATATTCTTGGACGGTCAACGCAAACGCGGGACACACGCAATATGGATTAGACTTACTTGTTTCGGTAGTAACTAAGTTATTTATATAAATAAGGTGTTACGATTTAAGACGCTAGGAGAGAATTCTCCGTTGTTTCCGTTTTTTTTATTCAGACATTCACACACACACACACACACACATACACTCACATACACTCACACACATTCATACATATGCGTACTCGTGAGACTCTTTCAGTTCTCTTTTTCTCCTTGTCTTTCCCTCTTTCGCAATCTCTCTTTCTCTCTCTCTCTCTTTATATTTATCATGCGCCTTTCTTTCTTTCATTTACTCGTTTATTTTCTCGTCGCGTCATTCTTTCTCTCTCTTCCCTTCTCTCTTTCTCTCTCTCCCTCCCTCTCTCATTTTTCTATGATACAACACTCGAATCGCGGCTCTAATTTCGTTCCACGTCGAATCCAGAAGAGATTCGCTCGTCAATTTTCACGCTCTTACGCGCATTTTACAAAAAGCCGGCGCGTTTCTCGGCGCTGCGACAGCGTTTTCTCTTGAAAATCGTCGCGACAGCCTCGATACGATCGATGCCGCTGAAGACGCCGATTCCGGGCCGAATCGAATGGGCCATTCGCGCGACGAAAGGGCCCGCGACTCGATATTCGTTTCGCAGTGGCGATCGGACCGGGCCTCGCGCCGCCGCGGCGACGTATATAATATTAATAATGATAATAATACTCGAAATCGGCGCGCCTGACGATGCGCGCGACGACGGCGTGGCACGCCCGATCGCCTGTGGAGTCCCTTAAAAACGATTATCTAATTAATTCGCTCGATAATTAGGAGATAGGTACCTCTAGGAACGCATGCACTCACGCACGCACTCTCCAGCAGTCTTTAGAAATATGCCTCTCTTATCTCCCTCTCATCCTCCCCCCCCCTCTCTCTCTCTCTCTCTC